CTAAGGGTCCGCCTGCTAGGGCGCCAACTATATACTGGTCGTCCGTAACTGCCGACGTAGAGCGCAGAAGGCCTGAGCGGCGTCGCAGGCTCTGTCCCAAGGTGATCGTTGGGAGGGTCTTGACGGATCGGTGATTGTGCGGGCGAAGGAGGCCGTGGACGATGGTCGGGGTGGGTCGGAGCGTCCGAGGGGGCGCCGGTCGGATGCGTTCGGAGGGTCCGAAGGAGGCCGAAGCGGGGGTTCCCCTGACAGTGAAGTTGTGAGCATAGCTGCCTCAGCATTAATGTAAAGGCAAAGGGTATGAAAAAAATCAGCTATGTTAGTGGATGTAAGAGCCACATATTACTCATCACATATGTCAAATACACCAACTCAAGCTTAGGATATTTTTTCAAGTGGATTTAAATTTGTTAACTCATATTAAAACTGTTAACTCAACTAGACTCCCTCTCAGTTATAATGCCTGCTAGAGGTTTAAAAGAATCTATGGAGAAATTGGATAGAAAATCCAGATTGAATTGACATGTGCCATACCTATATAGAATTGAAGTCATATTGATATCTTCCTTGTCACTATGATTTAGTACAAATTTAATGATTCTCTAAACAAAAGTATAAACATAACATCTATATTTCCCTATTTACGGCCACGGTTCAATGCCCAGCAGACTACCATTGACTTTCCATTGATTCCCTGCCTGGCCTAACCCAAGCTGATAAATAGGTGATGACATGCTGGGGCTCAATAACAGTCAGAGTTTTGTGGGGATCAACTGCTACTAGAGTTGCCATAAGCTTGGGAAACTCTTGGAAGGGTGTTTGACTGACATGCTTTCTCACAACAGTGAGAAAAGACAAGAAAATGCCAGAGTCCTTCAAAGGGCTCCAACAGCAACTAGAGCTAACAGCTCAAGAGAAAGAGAAGGAAGAGAATATGATAATCAAAGCTACTCTACTACAAGCCTTTTTATACCAAAAGCATATAGGAGAGAAATGAATACAAGGAACAGGAACAAGGAACAGTCCGGAAAGGCGGGACCGACGGATCAATGCTGACTAAGCAACACTGATGAGTCTCGGAGGCTCGTCATGACTACTATCCAAAGTACGGTGCTGTTTAATAAAGATGAACTTTCGGAGAAACCCATAGAGAGGAATTTCCAGGATTCTTTCAATACAGCCAGTCTTGTATACTTGAGGATCATCTGGAGACCGGAATCGTATAAGACAATTGCTCTTGTGTGAATCAAAGCAGCTATAAGTTTCCACGTTGAAAGGGCATTGGGATGGGGGGGAGGGCTCCAGAAGCTACACACTACTATTGGGTCAAATGTGCATGCTATCCTGTCAATGACTGCACAATTTTCCTCACACCAGCATCCCAGCCTGTAACAGCAAAAGGAACACCTGCACTCCCTCAAACAAATACCAGTGGTCTGCTACCACCTCCCAGATGCCAGCACGCTCACAAATGAGCCCCACAATGCCTTCCCGCTCCCCAGCCTATGCATCATAAACTCCATTGCTCTTGCTTGCAGCTGGGTCCTCATGTGCCCCATCGAGCTTGTGTGTGGGCCAAGTCATGGTCCACGCTGAGGGACTGGACATTGTGGGTTTAGAGAGCTCATTCCTGCACCCTCCCAGGCCGCACTCATCAACGGACGACCAGTTATATAGTTGGTGCCCTAGCAGAGGGACCCTTAGAATTTCTTCTCTTTGGATCCTCCCCTGCTACACCACCATATTCGGCGGATGTCAAGGCCAAATGTCACACAACATCATACCATGATGTCAGACATGAGTCGGCATGATATCAGAACGGAATCCAAATGTTGGATCTGTGTGATGTCGTGCCGACAGCAGATGTTGAGAGGACAGTCGGAAAGGCCGTCAATCAGACTGTCATCAGCTGGCCGCCATTGACATTGCGACCGGTGTCAAGACTGTGATTCGTAGCTGATAGTGCCCATGCAAATTGAATATTTCATTCTGACTTTTCCCTGCTTCTTATAGTTTAAGAGAAATCACTGGTTTTTGCATTATGCAGCACAAACAACAAGTTCCGTGTATTCTACACCTCACTCGATGCCCATCATCTTGCTGCTGGTCCTCCTGCATGCTGTCCTCAACCCCCCGTGTCCAAATCACCACTACCTGACCCACCATCCTCCTTATTGTTGATCTTGCTTTGCTGGTGCTTGGTGTCGTGCAGCACAGTAAGCACGTGGCGTGCGTTGTTTGGCACGGCGGAAGCGGCTTGGGCCTGCGGGGCGGGGTTAGTATCAGTCAGCGCAGGAGAGGGGAAAGACGGACAAGTAACGGCGGAGCTGATAAGGAGTGCGGGACATTGTTGGCGGCATATGGTGGGACAACATTGCGTGAGAAGCTGGTATTGGAGTGGGTCGATAAGAGATGAATAAAATGGACCACGCACATCAGAACAAGAGAGTTGTTCGATCCAGCTGGGCCCGGGCATCACAGGTGCTTCCTGGGAGATACAGTGAGTTTATTACCATCAAGGACACCGAAGAGCACAAACAGGATAAGGCCAGCCTGTTGCGCAAAATGACTACGAGTGGGCAGACCTCACCGAGGCGCTGCTGGAGGTGGTGCCGTTCGACGTCTGGGCCCTGCAGGCACCTATGGGGCTCAACGCACTGCGCATGGGGCTGTTAGAATATAGCGTAACCGGCCACACGCTTCGCGGCACAGAGCTCGCAGACGCGCTGGACTTGGGTGGACCATGGGGGAACGAAGAGAAAAAAATATGATGTGACCGGTGCTGTCACCGCGGAGAAGTTGTCCGTCCGTGATGTTACGGACCTTGCGGAACACTTCTAACTGCTGGTCAGCATGATTGTGTCATACCTCTCGGCTAGACTTAGCAAATTTTCTTCACAGCTTGAAGCTGCCCCTTGGTATGGGGCATGCTGTATGCAGCTTTTCCAGTATTTAATAGTTAAAACTAGAAGTCAGTCTGGTCACTCATGACACAGGGTGAGGCAGTCATCTCCTGGATATTAGAAGAAGACATCAGTATGATATGTCTCTCAACATCGCATGCATGCTGGCATGATATCAATCCAACATTCAGCGGCTGAGAGCTAAATGATCTTAGGCAGACCTCAGGCTGAGACCGGCATTTCTCTCCTGTTGACATCGTGGGGTGACATCGGCTCAGCATACCGATGGGTTGGTGGTGTAGGACTCTTGTTGGAGCCTCCAGGGAGGGGTGCAGTGTTCATTGACTTCTCCTCATTGTAGAGAGTGAAGGCTCATATGCCAGACCCAGGTCCAGTATGCTGACTCATATGGGGGTGTAGAACACAGACTACACACTCTGTTCAACCCAGAGCTCTGCCATCCGTCTATATGAATAGCTTATCTTTTTAGGCATGTTTATCACAGAGAATCAACAAGGGTGCTGGGCCAGATGGGCCAAACATCTCCCCTTGCTCATAGAGTGCCTGTCAGGGGACCCCTTTCGGCTTAGAGATGTGTCCGGTTCCGGTCCCAATTGACGCCGCCCAAGCCTTCTGTGCCTGACAGAAAACATGTCTTAAAAGGGGCAATTTTCGACCAGATCCGGCACCGGAATTCACTAATGGGGAACATCTGATGAATTGCGAAGTTTGTCACACAGGTCACAGCCCTCGGGCCTCAACAAAATGGTTCACATGCAACAGTATAATATTTTTTTCTCTAGAGAAAGATGTATTGAAATGTTCACAATAGCATTTTATTCAGTTCGGTAGTTACGCGTCACACCGGCCTTAAAATGCCGAAATTTTTCCAGCGGTCAGACTCAACAGCCCGGACGCCAAATTCCCTCGGCTGATTTACCATTTTTGGGTGGCGCTGCCCTGCGGGAAATTTTAGTTCGGCACCAAATTAAATAAAATGCTACAGTATTGTTCAGACCTATAATAGCTATTGGTATTTGAGGTGAACACACTGCCAAACAGTATTGGTTTCTAATGTAACACAACAATGCTCAAAATTTAATATCCTAAGATGCAACCTGTAACAAGTTCCTATGTATGAGGATATGGTCCTGGATACCTCTGCGGCATTTAGCCGGAATATGCTAGCCAGTCATGAGATCAGTCTTTAGGTTCAATTCTGGCCTGGGACTCCTGATGGTTCTAGGGGAATTCTGTTCTTCTGGTGCAGATTTTTTCTTGTAGACTAACCATGTGAAGCTAATATGGACTATTATGGAGAGTCAACGAGGGTCTCATACTCCGCCAGTGTGTGAGTTCAAAGGAACTTTGTTGACTTATAGATTGTATGGGACATTAAGAATGCACGTGAGTTTGCGGCCTTCCCAATTGATAGAAATAACCATAAATTTTGAAGGGCACTGCAGACTGGCCAGTTATGGTAATAATCCCATCTATCTTATCAAAATTGCTAGTCAACTAAGGGAATCCCAGTCTTATGTATGGCTCCCAAATGAAATAAAAAGTAACATAAGGGTTATAAACTTTTTTACTTGGCTGATGTGTGAAAGAAGTCATACTTGAGCCAGATTGTTATTGCAGACGCATAATCACTGCTGCTAGTGTCCCTGGAAGTAGGTTAATACTATAGTATTCTATTATTTTATAGTAAGGGCCCTGCAGGGTCCGAGGTACCCAAATAGGGCCCCTAGGGCCGTCACTGGTCCGACTCCTAGGCATTGTGTGATCTGGAAGGGCATGGAGTGAGTTGGTGCACCTCTTCTCCGACCTCTCCTGTGGATCGACTTGTTGCTCCGACTACGCCTGCGGGACTTGAGTGCCTCCTCTGATTATCGTGGGAGCCGTAGTAGTACGATTTTGTTACCTTGACGACCAGGGGTGATCGTGGAAGCGACGCTTCTAGCTATTGTTCACAGCAACACAGCGCCGAATACTACTGCCACCCCAGGCACAAGAAGAAAGAATGCGGGGATTACAACCAATTCCAAGCTCCTCTGGGATACTATACCGCAGCATGGCCATCAAACATCCCCACCATCACCCCCGCACCAACGCCACCTCTTCGCCGTTACTCAACTTCCCCTTCCCATCCTCGGCCCTCCTCTTCCTAACCCGCCGCACAGCCCCGCGCCACCGGCTCCACACGCGGCGCCACCACTCCCTTGCCCGCCCCCTGCCAGTGCGCCTCGTCCGCACGCTGCGCTGGGGCAGAACTCCATCAGCGGGGGTGCCCACCACCGGCGCCGGGCCGGTGTCTTCCCTGGGCGACGACTCGCATGAGTAAACGCTCGCGCTCGCCTCCGTGCCCTCCTTCGCCGCCCCCGGTTCCGCGCCGGCCCGGCCTTCCGAAAGAGGCCGCACATCGCCAGTATCGGTGCTCGCGCCGCGCAGGCTCGGAAGCGGCTGGATGCTCGTGTCGAGCCACGGGAACGATAGGCCGTGAAGCTGCTGATGGCCGTTACCGGTGGGTTGAGTCTCGCGGCGCGTGAGTGAACCGAGCGGGACATCCTCCAACTCGTCTTCCAAACGGGCAGCGCTGTAGTTCTCGTGGTTCGGCGAAGACGCATGGGCAGAACGATGTGTGCCTTGCACAGTTGAAACTCCAATCGCAGCACGCATCGCCTCCGCCCACTCCGCCGATGGCTCGGAATGGAGGCCTGGAACCTTGATTTTCTTGCTCTCAGGAAGCGGCGCAGTCAAATCAGCGCGAGCTTGCGCATAACCCTGCTCAGAATAAGGTTGTGCTCTAGCGCTCGCCGACCTCGCCCGTCCGCCATTCGCAGTGCTATTGATGAAGCCATAGCGCTTTGATCGCGCGGGGGAAAATGTGTGGGCCTTCCCTTTCTTTGTCGTGTTCGTGTCAGCGGGGGATGAGACGTAGTCCGAGTACCCAAGCGGCGATACGGAGCGCTGCGAGCCACCATTCGAATTCGAGGGGGGGAATGTGGAGTCCATCGAGGTCGCGCGAGCTTGAAACAACACCCCCTGCTCATCCACATCACTTTCATCTTGCTCTCCATCCGCCCATTGCGAGCGCCGACTGCGGTCGATCGGGGTTCCCCGTCCAACGTAGCGCGACACGGTCCACGATCCGCCCGGCATGGTTCCAAACCCTTCACCGCCGAAACTGAGCCGCGGCGGGGCTGAGTCGGCCGGGTAGCGCTCAGCAGAGAAGGAGCCCGAGCCGCGCGATGAGGGTGGAATGGAGGGGAGGTATCCGTAGCCCTGTCCGCCTGTCAGCGCCAGAAGCGGACTAGGCGGCGACGGTGGAGGGGAAAGGCACTCGAGGTCGAGTTTGAAGTCGGGGAAGCCCTCTACACTGAAGGCGGAGACGTCAAGGATTGCCTCGTCCCGGTCCTGTTCGGTAGAGAGGTGGGAAAGTGAGGGCAGCTCGCTCGGTATGGGGGAGTCAAGGAAAGAGCGCTTGTCGGTCGGCCTGTAGCGTAGTTAGCGCAACGAAAAAGCTGCAAGGCACGCGAGCGCACATTGGCTAGGGGGTGCGGAAGGTGCTGAGAGAAGTATCGCTGGTAGTCGCAAAGGTGGGGTGCCCTGAAGCAGAAGCGAAGGGGGTGTGAGTAGTGCAAAAGAGAGCAGCGAAACGCTAACTCGCACCCGCGGACTAGACGGTAGGAACCCCTCGCATCCTGCTTCGTGGCTTCGGCGACCCATGCCTCGTGTCGCGCTCCAGCCCCCCGTCTTCGTGCCTGTTCCTCGAACGCCGGTATCTTAAACCTTCACTTCGCTGCTCGTCGTCACGCTCTTGGCTGGCGACTGCTGACGAGCACATTAATGAACCAGCGTGCATTACCAGCTAGCGAGGCGATGCGATGGCGCCTATTAGCCTCGCGGGCTCATCGTGGGGTTTGTGCGTCGCTACACAGGACACGTCATCAGTCGAATCTTCGCAAAACTGGGGGGCAAGCAACAGACGCACCAGGACGAAGAGGCGTGTAAGAGTCTGAGAGGCGTTGGGCGATGGCCCCCGTTCATAGTCCAGCTTGGACTCATGTGCACATGGCTTTGGAGAAGAAAAACCAAGTGGTGAGTCATCTTCCAGCGCGTCACATAAAAATTTGATTTGATCGTGATCCGCGTCGACCGCGCTGATTACGGTAAGATGGAGGGCAACCGAAGGCAACATGGGCTATGGCGGACAGCATAAAACCGTTGGCGAGTTTAGAAACTCTACTTGAAGTTTATCAGAACAAGACTCAGAGAGGGCGACTTAAAAACTTGAAGAACTTGAACCCGGCAGTGTTCAAGTTTGGTTCAAGTTGTTACTTTACTAAGTTTACTTATGGCCCTCTGACAATTGCAACAAGGGCTACACAATACCGTCGTTGTCCGAGTTGCGTGGCTACTCCAGGACAACAAGAACGGGACAGCAAAACACGTCATTTGTGTGGCCACTGTGTGGGCCGATGAGTCAACGACGTCGGCTAGCGCTGTACTGACAGATGAGTCACACCCTCCTTCCTTCCTCACACCACCAGTTGCCAATGCATGTCGAGCTTCCACCCGAACTATGCGAGTCTGTCGTCAATCACATCCCCGCCGACGATATCGCCACCATCCGCAGCTGCTTGCTCGTCTCCCGGGCATACTGCGATGCATCTGAACGGCGCCTATTCGCCCACGTTCGTCTTGGCGAGGCCGCGCGTCCCTACTCTAGGATCGCAGAACTCTTCGCGGCCCGGCCCCACCTGGCCGCATACGTCACCAGCATGCGGCTCGAGCTTCCCGACGACGAGGACCGGTGGCGCGAGGAGAAACCCATCGCTGAGTCGGTTTTTCGGCCGCTGAGGAATATCGCGCAACTGGATATAGACGGCGGGATGCCAGTCCAACCCGAATCCCCGCTTGTCGGCTTGAGAATACGGGCCCTAGGATGGATGCTGGGCGTCCTTGAAGCGCATGGGACTCTGCAGCACATCATGCTCTGGCATGTCTCCCTCACAAAATCACTATTCCATCGCGTCATCTCGGTTGTGCCATCCCTCAACCTTCACGGTGCAGGCCTCATTGATGAACCCGAGTTTGAGATGTTCCCCGGCACGCCTACTCCCGTCCCCCAGAAGTCTATTGAGCATTTGGAGAATGACTCGAGCATAAAGCTGTATGATCTGCTGCTCCGCCCAGAGTACGAGCAATGTGTGGCAGGCCTGCGCAGCTGGACGCATCGCCGTTTCATCGAGCCGGAAGAACTCCGGCCCTGCTTTCTCTCTGCCGCAACGTTGGAATACCTAGAGCTCCGCCTGGCTAGCGGTGCGTGAATATTTGAGTGACATCTCAAGCATTACCCACTGACTTTGCCGTTGCCTTCGCAGATTGGATATGTCACATTGCAATGGTACACGCCCTCCGGCTCCCGTCCAGCATGCCGGCCTTGGTCCAGCTGGTCCTCCGGATCAACCCGTGCACCCCGCCGCCATGCGTCATCGAGCTGCTGTCCAGCAACGGTGCCCCCGCGCTGGCCGTGCTGCTGTTTCGCTTCACCGAGCCGCCCCTGGTCGACCCTGAGGATGCGCGGTACTCGTTTGACCCCGAGACGTTTGCGGCGCTCGACGACGCGGTCGTGGCCCACCCGAGCCTCCGCGCGGTGGAGTGGCGGCTCCTGTTCCGCCGGTGGGACATGAAGCGCGTCCGGCCCGGGCCCCACCTCAGCCCGCCGGTGCAGTTTTTGATCAACGCATTGCATGCTTATCTCCCACAGGCATGTCGGAAGGAGATCGTGCGCCTGAGCGATGACTTTTTGAAGATGTTTGAATAATGTACGATTGACTTACACATGAGGGAAGCGGATTGGAAGGGTAGGTACAGCTATGCGTAGTAGGACTTGGAATTGAATGGAATGTGGTTTTTTGACTACAGGGGAAAGCACACATATCCCAGTTTGCCAGAGATACAGCAACCTGAGCTTGCTCATCTATGATTGCTACCTTTACATACTAGTAATACAGTGGTTTATAGTACTAGATGCATTGGATGAGTATCAAGATGGTGAATAGTAAATACAATAGGCTCCTTCAAGTGCCGGATTTCAGCGGTATGTGCCGTATTTCCTAATTAGGCGTGCAGGCCTAATCTGGTATAGACTCAGAAATATAAACTTGATGATAATGTCCAGGCCACATTTGGTGCCCTCCAAGCTCTCTGTCACTGTTGTAGAGATGGAGGCTCATGAGGAAGATATAAAAACATATATTATAGACCAAATTGACTGCCATCAAATTCTGCAAGATCTTATATCAGATGATTTGAATCTCAAGGAGCAGGTGATTAGTAGAATAATTGGCACCATGCAGATTATATACTTTCAATAATATAGCTAACTAATAATCAGGTTTCTTATGGTACCCCTGCAAATGTAACTCTTGAGTACAGCTATGAGTCGGAATGACAGTAGATGCACTGGAGCAGGCTCTGGACAATTTACCCAAGGACCTCAATATTGGATATAGCAGGACTATAAACCATATTAATCAGCAGCCACTGTCACGGATAAGACCCGGCCCGTCTGCTCCAGTGCTGGTGTCGGGCCATCGCGGGCCCGTAGCACGCAGCACGTGATGACGGGGAACATGTGCCCTAGTAGGAGGAACGCACACGTGGGAAGCACGTGACCGAGAACGACGCGTCGAGCCGTCGCCGAGCCCAACTCGACACAAGGGGACTGGGGAGGAGTGCTAGGAGGTTAGGAGTAGCGCCTGGCCCGCAAGGGACATATGATCGTCCCCTCTGTGGCCAGGAACGGGAGCGAGGAGGAGGAGGAGAGGCCAGGGTGTCCAATCACCCCCTTTGCGGGCCCGCGTATATAAGGCGCGATAGTGTACCCTGTACTCTATCGCTTAGATCGTCTGAAGAACTACCTTACTCCATGCAAGGAGGCGTTATCTACTCATCGGGCCCGACACGACCCGATTCGAACCTTCGACCACCGACAGCGACAAGGGACCGAGTTCACGGGCCCTTACGGTTTCGATCTACCCCGCTCGCCGTCCTTGCGGGCCCGACTATCCATCTGTTCTGTTCCGGGCGCGTGTTCTTAGGAGAGGTCCTTGCACGGCCCGACCTGAAGTCAGAGCTTGCAATGCTTGCCCTGGGATGTGTTTCACATGCCAAATGTCCACTGAAAGCAAGTGAGCTGCAGACAGCCCTGGCTATGACTACAACAACCACCCAGTTGCCTAATGCAAAGAAATCAATGAAAGTAAAATACATTCTAAAAATTTGCTGCGGTCTGATAAGACAGTACAAATCAGGGGTCATTCATCTGGTACACTATACCATGCAGGATGTTCTTGAAAAAATCTGAGATATTGAATTCAAACAAATGCAGGTCAAAATTACACACATGCTCTGCATCCATCTATCATTGGTGCCAGATAAGCAGAATGAGAGGTCTAATTATCCCTTATTTGATTAGTATGGTCAAAATATCTTCTTCCATGCAAAAGGCCCTCCAGAAATAATACTTAGGTCTGTGTTGCTTATGTGTATAGAGCATATAATCTCTCATGACATGTATCAAAATATGTGGATATGGTGGGAATACCCTTGGCAGGGTTGATGGCAGGACTTGCAGTATGCAGACCCTGAGTTGAGAGTGCTTTCAGTTACTTTGTCAGGAGACCTGCTAGAGTTATCAGAGCACATTATAAGTGATGCAAGGGTTAAGAATAAAGGAGTTATTTTTGCTGCCTTATTTGGTCATACCCAGATATTCAAAGCCCATTTCATTGGGAATGAACAGGACATCATAATATATGTTAACACTTACTATAAAACAGTTTTGAATTGTCAAATGGAACAATATCTGGAAGCAACTTCATTCAGAAATATCCATGTATGTTCTTGGGATCCTGGTGACAAGCTTTCTCCTGAAAAGGAAGTAGGAAGGGGGTGTGGGGGGAAGGGGCTTGAGCAACCTTACGTGCACGGTGGCGGTGTGTAACTTGGGAACATGTTGTGGGGGGGGGGGAAGAATGTGTTCAGAGTCTACTGTCATTACAGTAGACAATAAACACTTCAATTGTAAAGGGGTGTCTAAACAATGAACATTTTCCAACTGTAGACTGTTAACATAGCAGTATTAGGGTTCAAGCCAATTGAACCTAGAGATTGCAACTAAGTGAGAACACTCAATTACGCCAGGGGTAGTGATGGCCAGGTCCGGTTCGGGATTTCGGTTTGAACCTGAACCGGACCAGACTGAATGCGCATTCGGCATTCAGGTTCGGCCAAGGCCGTTTCTGAACCGAACCTGGCCCTCGGTTCGGCCATGTTCAGCCGTTTTCGGTCCAAAAATGCCAGTTTGGGGCCGGTTCGAACCGACGTTCGGCATTCACGTTCGGCAAAATCCCGTTTTGAACCGAACCGGCGGTACGGTGTTCGGCCGAAAAGGGCCAAGAACCGGACTGAACCGGACTTGGCCATCACTAGCCAGGGGGGGGGGGTGGAGGCTTTGGAGGTAAAGTCAGATAACAAGTTTGTAGATACAGAATGGGGGTGCTACTGGCTACTTTATATACACATTCAGATGTGGCTGTGCAATCCTGTGTATGTACATGGCACAGATTAGAATGCTTCTTGGGTCTAAAATAGTAAGTAGTGTTTCAGGCTATTATAGCTAAAAGCTGTAGCCTAGTGTCAATCATGTCAAAATTGCAGTGTAGAGGCAGCACAGGGTTTCAACCTAATTTTTCCGTTTGGACTTGTAAGGCAGTGCATAATGAGAGTATGCAAGTCAGGAGAGCTGTGCATGTTTCATATGCCAGGTCATATGTCAGGTTTGGCAGACAGCTGACAGAGTGTCATATTGCTGTATTCCAAGTGTGATGACTAAGCTGTGCAACTAAAATCAGGCACATCTTCATGTCCTTGGTGCATATTCTCAGCTGGTGTGAACTTTCCTTGGAAAGTGAATCTTATGTGTGTTTATGTATTCTTGCCTAACAATTTTCAGGCATGACAGCATGCAGCATGCAGCTGCACTTCACAATCACAAAGATATTGTTAAATTCTTATTACAGAATAATGTAACAGTAAATCAAGAGCTGCTGCATGGAATGGACATAGAGAAGTTGTGCAGCTTCTGATTAGCTCAGGTGCACAGATTGATGTGGTTGCTGGTAGATATAGGACAGCTCTCCATGCTGCTGTACTAAACGGACAAAAGGACACTGTTCACTAATCAAAGCCAGTGCACAGAACAACTTGGCTTCTCTAGAAATAAGACAAGCGGAAGTTGTTCATCTTCCAATCAGCTAAGGTGCACAGATTGATATGGTTGCTGGTAAACCCAGTATGTTACCATAGCATTTCACTACAATTGATTCTCATATCTAATTTAAAGAATTTCTGCCACAGCAACTTCAGAGTGTGTCTGTGGCAATACCTATAGATCAAGGATGATATATTTCAGTTAAAGAGCAGATGGCATTAATAGAGTGGATCTCACGGCTCACCCATCAACTTCTTTCTTCAGTATCAGGCTATCTCTGAGAGCCGGCAAGAAAATACTGGGGACTGGTTTTTGGAACATCGAGATTTCTTGAAATGGAAATCAACACCAGACAATATTGTCTGGTGTACAGGGATACAATGTTAAAAACCATTAAATCTGGCACAGCTCTTCCGACAGCAGAATATATGGCAACTATTCAGCTATCAATCACATCAGGGCACAGATTAGCTTGATTCCCAGGAGACAGGAGACTGTGTTAAGTAGTTAGATGTGTAGGTGAATTACATAATTAATTTGCCATATAAGAATAGATTGAGTATTGTATTGTATTGAGTTGAAGCCTCAAATCTCACGCAAACTTTCAACAGTCCACGCTTCAAAGTACACATAAAAAAACTGCCCTAAGAACTTGGTCAGAACCATCAGGAGTACCAGGCCAGAGTTGAACCTGCAAGATGACCTCATGACTGGCTGGCAGGCATCACTTATCTTAGGGTTAGTGTCAAGCCTGGGCTTGCCTATACAATAATGCTGTGATGGGTCCTTCTACACTATGGTAAATATATTAATCCAGTCGTTCTTAACAGGAAATAATTTGCAATATGATGGTCCCCTGTCACAAGCCGGGTCTCAGACCCGAGCTGTGGGTTCTGCCGGGCTCAGGGCTCAGGCTTGATATTTCTACAGGCCCTGCAGAACCCTGTTCATCGTGAACACCGGGCGGCCTGGCTGCAACTAGTAATCTAATAGAACTCCCGCCTAGCTCAATCGGATAGAGCGTCAGACTCTTATTGGTGTTGTGTATCAAATGGGAATCTGAAGGCTGCGAGTTCGACCCTCGCGGTGGGCTATGATCGTTGTGCACTCGCTTTTTACCGTTTTTCCGCGCAGAGAAACCTCCCCGTCCGTGTCGCCCCACCTCTTGCCGCCGCCCGAGATCTCCGACGCCTTCCAGACCCACGGCCTACATGCGTCGCGGAAGCATCGCGCTGCGCGATCAGTGCATGGCGCGTTGCGGAGATGTTCGCGGCACCGGGACGGGCAGCCGCAGTCGGTGCGCAGTCTATTTTTGCACTATTTTTAGCGCCGCCGCTCCACGAAAGCTGTCATGAAACGCTCCCCGGCCCTCTGCTAGTCGCATATGAACAGGGTGCGGATGGGCGGTGCTATTAGAAGGGTGCTGACGCCTGTTTGCAGCTTTCTCCTTGCCATTCGCCACGCGAGCGAACGACGACACCGAGCGCGATGACGCCGAGCGCGAATATGGGTACACCCAACCTTCGACACTCACGCCCACGACTCGC